TTTATGGAAACAGCTGTCTAGTAACAAACTTCTTTGAAGGCTGTTTTGATGACTTTTCAAATATTATATCAGATATAACAAAAAGTCATGGAAAAGCCTTCAGAGTAGGTTCTTACTAGACACTATATGTACACACAAACACACTTACATAAGCAAATATGAATCTTAAAGCTGTATATTCTTTCTTCCCTCCTCCTCCAGTTTCTACATGAAAGTAATACCTGATTTTAAATGTACCATAGACACCATAAGATAACCTTTAAGTAATTCAATCTATTTTAAACTAGAATTAAAGTATTTTGAAAATTATACTAGGATCATTATGAATTATACACTTGATATAAACGCTCATGCCATTATCTCGAGAGAAATTATTAACTACTGTATATTTCCCTCTCATTGCAAGTTGTCTTTTGATATAAGCATTAGGCATTGACTGAAGTATAGTATTAACTGTAGGGGCATATTATTATTCTTTCTCATATATTTATAACTAAAATGCTAGAATGCAACACAAAATACAAACTACTAAAATTACATGTAAAATAATACTGTAATAAGAACCATATTTCTTACATTTTCCTTACAGAATCAATCCACAACATATAATTAAGAAAAATCCACAGGAGCCGAACAATTACAGTTATCTTACATAAATTAATTGACTTTTAAGTATCTTTTTTATTATTACATTAATTAGGTCACTATTCTTATTTATAGAAACCCTTCTGAAGAAATGCTTAAAAATGACATTAATGAATCCAGGGCAGATATTCTACATAAATTCAAGAGCACCAAATTGACTTAGTTCATCTATGAAGTTCTGTGACTGAATAATTTCAGTTTCATTTTTTTAACAATGAGTTTTTTTCTGGAAAGCCAGGAAAGGAAGTTGGGGGGAGAAGAGCAAAGCAGCGTAAACTGTTAACATATTGAGAGATAAAAGAAACAGAATCTTTATTAACTTAAACAACATTTGTTTTAATTCCAAGTAAGACTAAGTTTAGGTTTAACAACAGTATATGAAAATATTTTATTCATCTACAAAAAGTCTTACCACAGGGAAAAATCCAGTTTTTTTCCCCAGATATACACTATCAAGACGGATAACAAGGTTACAAGCAGATTTTCAGACTTGAGGCATGTTCCAAAAACATTTGTTTATCTGTTATTTGGCAGGGTTCTCTTGAACTTGCTATCTCATCAGAATAGAGGAAAATGATCAAGCAAAAGAGCATGCACCCCCAAAGGCAGCAATTTAAAGAACAGACTGCTTTGTAAATTTGACAGTGGCTTAACTTGTTCGGGGCAGAACAGCTGATATAGACACATCGACCAGATCCTGACCATAGAACTCTATGGATAATACTAAATGAAGTTGCCTAATATTCTCAAGCAGCTGCTACATTTACTTGAAGGGATGCTCAGCTTTTTATGTTCATGTATTATTAATACAGTGGTGCCATTTTGTACTCTGCCTGAAGCACTGATAATCTGTTTGCATCTTTCTTGTTGTATGATGGGGAAGCAATCAACCACAAAGAATGAACCAAATTCCTAAGGCTAATAATTGAGTGCCTCTATGACTGATAAAGAATATTATACTCAATTAATAACTGTGCATTAATTTTCTGATTATGTGCATATTTTTAGTCAAGGCTGTTAATGAAGGGCAATTCTCAAGGGAGGGGAAGGAAACGATTCCATCTGATAATAAACATTCTTTCTCCTATGTTATTGCCTTCCTCTTATTAGTAACATGCTCTTATTAAAAAAATTATTTACAAATCTCTGAGGGATTCTCACTACAGAAATATACAAGGCTCATTTATTTTCACTTACTACTATTTTATTCTATGTTGAAAAGGTAACTCTATTTCTACTCTCTTGATCTACCGAGAATAAAAATGCCGTCCTTGACAAATACTGAAATGCTCATGCCACTGAAGATGGTTCAAGGAAATATAAGCAAAAAAATATTTGCTTATTTATTTTGGGCTTTGAGATGTTCAAATTAACACCATCAGTTCAGATAGGCTGGTTGTTTGGAAGACAGGTCCACTTGGAAAACCCAAGCTACAATAAGGATATTTTAAAATAAAAACAAACAGCCAATAAATTATAGCGGTTAAGGTGTTAAAATGTAGATCAGGGAGAATCAGAATTAAGCCCTGCTCAGTCATGAAGCTCACTTAGTAATTTTGAGCCAGTTACATTTTCTGAACCAATCAAGCAAACCTATTTTGGACACAGTATTAGGCAAGACTCTTTGGGTTTTCAGAAGAACATAAATGGAAACAACAAAGCAAGTACATTGGTAATGAGCATCCATCTATTCTCTTACAACTTATAAATCATTCATTAAAATTATCTATCATGCTTTTTCTACATTTAAGCAGCACTCTGAAATACTGCAAAAGCCTGGTTTACTGCCTTTTACTACATGGTTTTACTACATGGATATAGTACCTGGTTTAGTATCTTTTCTACATGGTGCCTTTTGAATTATTTGCATAGCTCAAGTTTAAACACAAATCTGTAATGATGACATGCTTAATGAGTTTACTTTTTTAAGCATAACTTGTTTTTCAAAATGTTATAAAGCATTTGGAATATATACTCTCAAGAACATTCAAACTCTGAGGTTCCTTTATTCTGTTATCACTAACAACGACCATCATAATTTCCACAGAAACTTCCAACTTCTCTTAAATTATGAAAAATCAAAATCCTATTAAAGAAATTGAGGAATAGAGATAAATGTCATACCAATTTTTTAGATGTATTCAAATTTTTTATGGAAAAAAATCTTTCTCTTTTAAATCACCTGCTTAAGCAGCTAATATAACTTGATCTCACACACAAAGAGCCAGGAAAGAGCGAGATTAAGGGATAAACATGAAAGCATCGAAGATGGATATAAAGACTTAGGTTTGCTTACTTTGCATCCCATACATGGTCACCTCTATGAAAGATGACTAAATTGTTATTAGGATCCAGGGCCAGCCCAGAAACCTGGCCTAGTTTGAGGGTTATGCCTGGCCAGTCAGCTACTTCTTCTATCTTTAAACCTGAAAAAAATCAACGAGGAATATATTTATTCTATATATTATGATAATGTCTGTGCTTCTTACAAAACTTGAACATACAGTAGTCCTTGACTTACAACCATACATTTAACAATGGTTCAAGATTACAAAGGCCTTGGAAAACATAACTTACAACCCATCCTCAAGTTACAATCGCTGCACCACTCCCAAAAGTGACTTGATTATAATTCAGGCTGTTTTCAACTGGTTTGCATTTACAACAGTTGTAGTGGCTTCTGGTCATGTGATAGCAACTAGATTCCAGCTGGCTTCTGACAAGCAAAGTCAATGGAGGAAGCTGGATTTGCTTAAGGAATGTGTGATTTCCTTAACAATCTTGTGATTCACTAAAAAAAAAGTGGTAAAAATGGACATAAATCGGGCCCAGTAATGTGATGACTTGCTTTATGACCACAGCAACTCATGATGGAAATTCCAGTCCCAACTGGGGTCATTAAGTTGAGGATTGCCTGTACTTTTGCATGCCATGGTATAATGCACATAGTATAATAATTACAACATAGCTAATCCCAAATTTTCAAAGATTTGCTGGACAACCGTAATGGACTAATATTTAGGCTGGTTGAGGGGCCCAAACTCTGCAAGCTATAATGTTGTTATATAACTGCAGTGAATGAACCTGGCCAGTGTTTTTTTATTCTTAAAAAAAGAAAAAAAAACCAGCCTCAGCATAGATCTCTCAGGCATGTTCCCCAGCAGTTTCCAAAGGCATGAAAACCATATCTTCTTTTAGAAGCATAATGTAAAATGAACTCATCTCAACATTCTTTCTATATCATCTATGCTGTAAATGCCAATATTTCAATATTCCAATAGGTCAACTGTCAGTAGCAATATGCTTGCCTATAACAGAGGGAGACAGCAACTGGTCATTCCATCAATTTGACAGAAATAGCAGTAGCCACAATTTGATGACTGCTGCTCAGACTCATTTCCAAACAAATTGTCTATAAAAACTGTATAAAATTACGCTGAATTTTATTCGTGTTTCTATTCTCTTCCTACTCCCACTCTCAAACAAGAGTTTCTTGTTTGAAACCTTGCATACACAGTGAAAACAATTCCAAATATGTTTGTGCAAAAACTGATTTCAGTAGAACACTTGCATGCTTCAGTTAGTATTTGCTTGATTGCTTGTATTTCAAGATTCTGGATTTTTTTTTAAATTACTGAACTTATTATTCTTGGGAAAACCTTAGCTGCAAAAGTAGGAATTCCATTTGTTTTCTATTTACAAATCAAAAGAAAAACAAACTGTCAATAAAATAAAGCACCAAACAGATAATATTCATACTAATTTTAAAATAAGTCCCAAAGATTTGAAGGAAACATATCCAGGAATGTAAATTAAATTCTTTAATTTATTATATTTACAAGTAATTTATTTACAATATTTGTTAACCAATGCAATCAAGTGCAACAATCATAAAGCATTAGGTTTGTGTGTGTGTGTGTATGTGTGTGTATATATATATACACATACACACACACATATATACATACACATACACACACACACATATATATATATACATATACGTATATATATATACACATATACATATGAGTGCTTTTTTTTTTGAACACCCTGTCAGCCCAAATATGGGAGAGAGAAGTCTTTTGCCTGCATCAGCTCAATCCAGAGCCATCCACAGGCAGCAGTCACTTAACTGCGACATCATATGTGTTTTTCAAAATTTGGATTGCTAACAAAGAATTAAGGGAGTATTGGGATAGCTATTTCTAACCTTATTTGGTTTTCATCAGCCAGACATACCCTTCCGAGATTCGAACCTGGGCTGTCTGCATGTTAAGCAGAAGTATTAGCCATACCTGGGCTGACAGGGTGTTCAAAAAAAAAAAAAGCACTCATTCTCTTCCCCTGTCTCTTGTAGCTAACAAAGTGAGAAAGAGCCTGTGGCCTAGGGGCTAATACTTCTGCTTAACATGCAGACAGCCCAGGTTCGAATCTCGGAAGGGTATGTCTGGCTGATGAAAACCAAATAAGGTTAGAAATAGCTATCCCAGTACTCCCTTAATTCTTTGTTAGCAATCCAAATTTTGAAAAACACATATACATATATATACATACATATATATATACACACATATATATACATATATATAAAGTATATTCATTCCATCTTTCTATCCATACCATATAAACATTTATGTCATTTCCCTCCAGTCTCTATTTTACTTTCCTGCCCCCCAAACAGAATAATAATAATAATAATAATAATAATAATAATAATAATAATAATAATAATAATAATAATAATCACAAATTACATACTCACTATACCAGAAACTCTTATGTTACATAAACATTCACAACATTTTCTTTCAGCCTTCTATCCTTGTTAGGGCATGATGACTAATGAAAAAGTCTAGTCTACTGTTTCTATCACTTGAGCTAACTTTGATTTCAATTTTGATTGAAAATTACAATTTATAAAATTTTCTTATATAACTTTTAAGACATTCCTGCCCAGTTGTCTGCATGTAAGTACCTAGTACAGTAGTTCAGTTTCTGAGTTTATAGAATATAATAAGCAAATAGATGAAAAGCATGAACAAAACTCATAAAGAATAGGGTTTCCTGCTTGAGCAAGGGGTTGGATTAGATGACCTCCAAGGTCCCTTCCAATGTTATTATTATTATTGTTGTTGTTGTTATTGTTATTATTATTATTATGATCTCTACATTGGCATAACACCACAAAACTTGCTATTTTACTTTTCTGTGAAACACAGTCTCCAAAGAGGGGCTGCAATTAGGGTTAGTTGTGCTTTAGCTAGACTAATATTTTGTTCATCAGGTTACAAATAATGTTACTTTTCCTAAGTAATTATGAAAAACAGACCTAATTAACAAGCATTTTTGTCAGCTGCTTTTCAACAGAGCAGAGATGCAACAGCAAATACTATTATAATACTTCCTGTGCAATGTCAGAATAAATCGTACGGCACAGGTATCAAACTCGATTGCATCACGTGACGTATCGTGACGTTTTTGCCTTTGCAGAGCCGGGGTGGGTGTGGCCTGCACGTGACGCATCTGGCCCGTGAGCTTCCAGTTTGACACACCTGTTCTATAGAATGGAAAATATTTTCCATATATAGGATCATAATGTCCACATTAGCAATTAACCCCCTGTCCCCAATTCCTTTTTATAATCTGAGGAAATTCCTTTATGTAACAAAAGGCATTGCTGTTTTTAAATCAAGAGTACAAATATATGGCCTCTGAATTATATACATCCTAAACAGGAGGCAAGCGATGGCTTCAGGAATTGTAAGTAACAGAATAAATGTTGGAAAGGGCCTTGGAGGTCTTCTAGTCCAGCCACCTGCTTAAGCAGGAAACCCCATACCATTTCAGACAAATGGCTATCCAATCTCCTTTTAAAAGCCTCCAGTAATGGAGGAATCACAACTTTTCAAGGCAAGCTGGTCCACTGGTTTATTGTTGTCCATGTCAGGAAATTTCTTCTTAGTTCTAGGTTGCTTCTCTCCATGAGAAACTTAGTAAACTAAGTCAAATAAGTAAATAAAGCAGAATTTTTTGCACTCTTTGTTTTTGCATTTTTGGGTTTAACTGCAGCTCTTAATCTTCTATTGGGAAATGGAAGAAAAATCAATACAACTTTTCTAATCAGAAAAAAGAGTTGCTGTTTCATATATTTCCTTTCTCTGATTTATGCTACTACAGCATTCTGACTTATTTCCATAGATAAGCTGGCACCAGCAACTTATGCACCAGCTCTGGGCTTCTGGAGAAAACAATATTATATACAGAACAATAATGCTTACACTTTTGGAAAGGTAACATATAAATAGAAATGCAGAAAATGTAATCATATATTTCATGTAAGCGTGAAATAAACGTCTGTAAGAAAAAAAATCTGGCACTTGTCAGATTTAGCTAGCTTTCTCACTTTTTAACCTCTTCCCTTTTTATATCCATTCTTTCCCTTTTTTGTTCTTTTGTATTTTATTTTCTCTTGAAATTTAATAAAATTGTTTTAAAAACAAGCTTTAGCTTGCTTTCATTAAATTAAAGAAATATTTTTCCAGTTTGGTTTTCCATCGAAATCTCAAAATAGTATCTCTATTTGTAGTATGTAAATGGAGTATTTTCCATTTAGCTGCCCAATTTAGAAAGAAATTATCTACAGATGATTATATGATGAAATAAAATTGTGACAAGACTACACAGCTTAGATGTCTAGTAAAAAAAACACACTAGTCCTCTGTGAAAGAGAAATACAATATGAGCATCGTTTCAATAATTCCTGATGACAATACTGAATGGAATACGTTTTTCGTTTAAACATTTGATACAAGGAATGTCAAATGATACATTTTTAAAACTCAGCCCCAAACACATCAGTTAACGTTTCCTCCTCACCTTGCACAGTATGGAGCACAGTACTGGATACTGAAATATAAAAAAAAATACTCCAAACCTACCTCCTGTCTGTTCTTTTTCCCAGTTCCCTACACTGGGTTTATTTTGCTGCAAAGCAACATGCCTGTTTTCCGGTGGCCTCAGAGTTGATTCTAATCTGTGAAACTTGTGGATTCTGTCTCTGACAAGAATGGCATTAGCTCTTTTGTCATTTTTGGAAAATGCTCTGGCATCAGGCCAGCCAAGATCCTTCTTCTGGACTACATTAGCAATCTCGGCTACAAAATCTGATTCAGCATTTTCTGCAGGATTATACTTGTGCAGGTGAACCACGTCTTCCCTTTCTCCTAGCAGCCTGGAAATGAGGGAATAGAAATCACCTGTGTAGAGAAAGAGAAAGACAGGGAAAGAATGGCAGG